GAGAAGACTCGGTGGACTGAAGCAGCGGAGAACCTTCAGAAGATCTACGACAATCTCATAGGAGACATTCTGGTTTCAGCTGGTGTCATTGCCTACTTGGGGCCATTCACGTCTGCATTTCGAGATGATATGACCAAAGTGTGGGTGAAGATGTGCAAAGTAAGTCTGATTTGGGTTTGATGTTTATAGAGATGAGGCTAGTCGTGGTAATGATGGTGGCAGTAATGATGATGATGGTTGTCATGGTGGTAGTTATGATGATGATAAAGATTTTGGTGGTGGTGGTAATGATGATGATGAAGATATGGTGGTGATGAAGACAATGGGGTAATGATGGCGCTGATGAAGAAAATAATGGTGATGGTTATGTTGTTCAAGGTGGAAGTGATGATGATGATGTAGTGCTGACAGTGAGGGGAGATGGTGTGATGAATATAATGTTGGTGGTGATGCGGATGAAGATGGTGGGTAATGATGATGATGAAGATAATGGTGATAGTTGATTTGTTTTTGCTGGAAGTGGTGAAGAGGATGATGCTGATTGTTCTGGCGAGTGTTGTGATGGTGATGGAGATCAAGTTTCATCATGACTTTTCTAGTTGACTGAAACAGATTGTCATTTGACTGAATCTCTATACAGTAAAAAGCTGTCAGATCCAATCTTTTGATGCTCTGATAATTTATTGTCCAACACTCAGAAGAAAGGTTAAGGTGTGCATGCAATCAGACTGCTACTGCTGCTGTCAGAACAGCGCCGGCTGCTAGAAATGGGGAAGGGAATATACTGAGTGCTGCGATGTAGATTGTTAACTGAATCCAACTCGTATAGTAGATCCTTCTTTATGATGTCTGGGTGGTTATGGAACTGGCTTCTCAGATTCAATAACAGATAAAGGAATGGAGCGACTGACTGAAGAATGGGTGAACAGCAATTAAACATGTGCTTTCCTATTTTGCCAGCTTACCTGATCACAAGAATCACAGATCAGGACAATGTTTTTGTCTCACCCCATCAACGTGGGCAAGCCATCCAGGTATTTATCTCTCTGTCGTCTTCTTGGCCTCCACCAGTCTTGTCAGTCGTTACCAAGTTCTCTCGTCCATTCCTTTTTATGACATGTCTGAACAATTCTGGCTGTCTAGATATAATTATTCTAATAAGTTTATGACTTTCATCTGTCTCCAAGAGCACTGTGTTTTTTTTTTCTCTGTCATTTCATGGTATTCTTTGCCTTCTTCTCAAAAACCACATCTCCACTGTGAGTAAATGTTTTTCAGCTTGTCTGCTTATTGCTTGTGTCTGACCTGTAGTGAGATCATGACTGTTCCTGGCATCTTGCACTAGGTAGATTGCCATTACTTTGTTTCCTGGCATCTTGCACTAGGTAGATTGCCATTACTTTGTTTCCTGGCATCTTGCACTAGGTAGATTGTCATTACTTTGTTGTTTCCTGGCATCTTGCACTAGATAGATTGCCATTACTTTGTTTCCTGGCATCTTGCACTAGGTAAATTGCCATTACTTTGTTTCCTGGCATCTTGCACTAGGTAGATTGTCATTACTTTGTTTCCTGGCATCTTGCACTAGGTAGATTGCCATTACTTTGTTTCCTGGCATCTTGCACTAGGTAGATTGCCATTACTTTGTTTCCTGGCATCTTGCACTAGGTAGATTGTCATTGCTTTGTTTCCTGGCATCTTGCACTAGGTAGGTTGTCATTGCTTTGTTTCCTGGCATCTTGCACTAGGTAGATTGTCATTACTTTGTTTGCTGGCGGTGACCATACTGGTCAGGTGACCATAGCCATTGTTGCTGTTGTGTGATCATCTGCCTATCCTCTGACCAACAGTTATTTGTTTTACACTTCCATGACTGGGAGTGGGGGGTGGGTTAAACAGGTGATCCACCTTGCCTAAGGGTGTCCCATAGGCTAGCGGAAAGAAGGAGGCATCAGACACTTTCTCCTTTCACAGAGGATTACCCTATCCTGCTGCCCCATACTGGATGCGCAGAGAAACAGATGAGACAATCCTAAAAAGCTTTGATTTGAAAAATACAGTCTGGAAACTTTAGATTTTGTCAGTGAATTGTGAAAAGGTTAAAAAGGGAAAGGTTTGTCATAACAGGTAATTCAAACCCGTGGCAATTGTACAAGAGGACAAACCTTTTCTATTTGAGACTGCCTAGACAGTGATGTCATCATTAACTCATGTGTTCCGTGTTCCCGTCAAAACCATTCATTCCTGAGTTCTCCTCAGAACTTTGGGTGAACCAATCAAATCCAGGCCTGGAACATCGCAGGGCTGCCCAGGGATTCTTTCTCTGTGGACAACGGGGTCATAGTTGCCAATTCCCGCAGATGGTATGTTCCACATTTGTTTGAGAGGATTCAAACCAGGGTCCCCCGCTTGAGAGTCCAGCATTCTAATCCTTTAGCCAGCTGCTCCTCTGTGTTCATCCACTATATGGATTCTCTCTAGTTATTCCTAGTCTTCTCTGCTTGTCCTCTTCTGATGGAGCATCAGCCGTCAGCCAGCTCACAATTTCATTTGTTACTTTACAATATGCCAAAGGCACAGATGTGAATACCTTTTCTGCATAAGTCAAAATGAGGTATTATTGTTGATACAACCACACAGTTTTGATCTGCTACTTCAGAAAAAAACATGAATTTCTAAACACAAGATTTTACCATTTATGTGACTTTGACATAGTGCCAACAAATTGTAGACAGATCTGTATCATCATTGAGCTCAGAGTTTTCACTTGAGGCCACTCCCTCAGCCTTTTTTTGTGCATTGTCAGCTCTTGTACACATGGTGGTTCTATGCTCTACAGAAAAGAAATTATAGAACTGCAGAGAAATCAGATAGAACATTTTAAATGATGTAATAACAGCTACAATTAAGGGAAAAAAAACTAACATTTATGTGAGAGCATATTTCAGTCCTTTACTCAAAGGAACATAACAGTTGGAAGATTATGAATGATTGAAATGTCTCAACACTTGCATTTATGGACTTTGGTTAGACTGACCTGTCTACTTGCCAGGCCACTGATGATTGATCCTGATGGACAAGCAAACCGCTGGGTGAAGAACATGGAGAAGGACAAGAGCTTGCACGTGATCAAGTTGTCTGACTCTGATTACATGAGATCCTTAGAGAACTGCATTACATTTGGAAGTCCATTGCTCCTGGAAAATGTTTATGAAGAACTGGATGCCTCCTTAGAGCCACTTTTACTGAAGCAGACTTTCAAACAAGGTGAGTAGATCACCAGTACATGAATACATATACGCGCATACATACCATCATACATACATACATACATACATACATACATACATACATACATACATACATACATACATACATACATACATACATACATACATACATACATACATACATACATACATACATACATACATACATACATACATACATACATACATACATACATACATACATACATACATACATACATACATACATACATACATACATACATACATACATACATACATACATACATACATACATACATACATACATACATACATACATACATACATACATACATACATACATACATACATTACATAACATACATACATTACATACATACATTACATACATACATTACATACATTACATACATACATTACATACATACATTGCATACATACATTGCATACATACATACATAACATACATACATAACATACATACTTACATACATACATTACATACATACATTACATACATAACATACATTACATACCATCATACATACATACATACACACACACATACATACATGCATATATGCATGCATACATACTAGGGCTGTACCGAATAGTGATTTTCACTATTCGGCTGAATACGAATAACGGGACCAACTATTCAGCCGAATACGAATAGTGTATAGTTCTTAAAAATATTACTTTAAACACACACACACACACATTCATAATGTCACATGTACGCTAAACTTTTACTTCACATAAAGCACCACAGAATAGTCATCTTCTTCTTTAGCATTCTGAGCCCTTGAGGTTTACTGCTGCAGATATCACTCGCCTCCATTCATCTCTCTGGCTGGCCTTCTCTTCACAATTTGTGACACCAGTTGTTTGCAGGTCTAACTGGACATTACCTCTCTAACTTCTTTTTTTGTCTGCCTCGTGGTCTACGCCCATTTCTTTCTCAGGTGTATACAATTTTACTTCTCTGTCATCTGACATTCTTTCAAAATGCCCCAATCATTTAAGTTGTTAGCTCTCATGATGCCAATGATCAGCACTCTCCAATCCCCGCTGTTAGCATCTTTGATGGGTCCAAAGATTTGTCGTAAGACTATTTTCGAAAACCTGTAAAAAGGCCTCATCTCTTTTATTTCAGCTTCAAGTTTCAAAGCCATATAAAACGACTGGTCTTATGAACTTTTTATAAATTTTGATCTTGGTGTTGCGAGACAGAACTTTGTTTTTAGCTGATGTTGAAGGGCATAGTATACTTTTTTTCTAGATTGTATTCTAGATTGCATTTCTTTCCACATGTTGGAGCAGTTGAAGTTTGCATCCAAATACTTATATGTTTCCGTTCGTTTGATTTTCATATTATTGACTTGGATGTGGCTAAGTTTATATTCTTTCTATGTCTAGTTAATATCCGTACAGAATAGTAAACATTTTATGGGTTGCATCTTTCAGTAAGTCTGCGGTAACTAATAACTAGAAATGAAAGAATCCTAAGTGTTATAACAAGTAACTAAACTTGGAAATTGTCACTGACAGCTTAGATAATGCATGAAAGCTGCATTAGCTTTCAACAAAATCAATCGTTCCATGTTGTCAGTATTAAGGACGTGTATGCGGGTGTAAGGTAACTACTATTCGTATTCGGCCCGACTGCAACTATTTGGCCGAATACCGAAAGGTCAATAGGTCCACTATTCGGCCCCGAAGCGAATACGAAGCGAATATTCAGTACAGCCCTATTACATACATACATACATAATTCATACATACATACATGCATGCATACATTACATACATACATTACATACATGTATTACATATATTACATACATACATACATACATACATACATACATACATACATACATACATACATACATACATACATACATACATACATACATACATACATACATACATACATACATACATACGTACATACGTACAGTACATTGCATCAAATAGTGAAGAGGATTAGCATGATAACTGACATCATCCAATAAAGACAAAATATGCAGCAAGCACCATTTTCCCCTAAATATGACTAAAACTAAAGTAATGCAGAATTCTTAGTCCGCTACATATCAGGTTGTATGGTACTTGTCTGAAGCAAATTAAACAATTTTAATATCTAGGAATTACATTCTTTGAGGAAGGGGAAATAGAAACAGGATACCAGTGAGCCAGTGCACTTATATACCAAATGACACCGTTATTAAAATATCCAGACATAAGAAACAGATTATAAACAGCATATTCATACCAACATTGTGCCACCAGTGCCAGACATGGACATTATCAAAGACTAACCTGCATAAAATTAACACCTGTGAAATGAGATGCATAAGAAAAGCCGCCAACTTAACCATCCAAGACAAAGTTAGAAATGATATTATCAGACAGACTGTAGCAACAACAGCATGCAGCAAATTCATTGAGAAGTTAGTTGGGTTATCCTCATTGCACTCCGGACATGTCCATAGGTGCTCAGATCCTCCCCTCAGTATGAACCCCAACGTCCGATGGCTAATAGTACCAGTTCTATGTTGATTAACAAGACTTCTGGCGTAGCTGGTGTGCGTCTCGTTTTTTGCTGTGCCGATCTTAATTCCCAAGTCTGCCATTCTGGCGAGTGATGTGGATTCACTGCCACCAAAGTCCTCTATTCTTCCCATTTCTCTGAGGGCATTGATAATATCAGCATGATCCATAGGCTGACCGTCGGTGGTGATAGCGGATCCAGCCAACCTGTCAGCTCTTTCATTTCCATTGACGCCTGCGTGTCCCGGAACAAAAATAAAGGTGACTCCACGAACAGTGGACTTCTGTAATGATTCAAGCAATTGTCTTCGCACTGAACCTGCCTGAACCCTCCGGATCATACTCATTGAATCACTGAGTATACACACGCGGGTGTATTTTTGTGTTTCAAGCCAGGCAAGCGCTTGTGTCACTGCCATCACCTCCATCGTCATGCTGCTGGTTGTCATGGAGAAAGCGCCGTTGGCTTCTTTGACTGTTCTGCCCACTGAGCGTGCTGTAAATGCCCATGCGCTTCTTCTTTGGCGTATAACGGATCCATCTGTATAGATTATTGCATCTGCTTCGTCTGAATTTTCACCGATGAGAGCGTTGACCTCTGCATTAACAGCAACAGGATTCTCTTCTCTACATCGACTGTTGAGTGTGACAATACAGGAAAATGTACAAAAAAACGCCTGAGGCACAGGTATCTATTCTGCACCAGGTATGATGTCGATTAGGCTGCATATTTGCCTAATAACATCTTCTGCCCGACCTAGCCACGATTTCCCCCTCTTCAGTCTGTCGCCCTTTTCACTAAAAAGCGCTTGATGCAGTGGGTGTTTCTTATCAGCGCATATTTTGAGATATGCCCGAGCCCTCCACATCCTGATCCTTTGGTTCATTGTTGGAAAGTCAAGTAGATACCTCATTGCTCCACAGGATGTGTCTCTAGTACATCCCAAAATAATGCGCATGGCTTCATTTTGCACCTTTTCGAGTCGTTCAATCTGGGTAGCACTGACAGTGAGGATGGCCAGAGCGTATTCAATGGGGGAAAGGACCAGACCGTAGAATAGAAGTATTAGTAGTCTTTGCTCAATATTGGAAGCAGCCATAATCCTCATTGCAGATAGACCTTTGCGTGCTTTTGTTATCACATGGTCAACGTGTTCCCTGAATGACAAGCTGCGATCGAACCTCACCCCGAGAAACGTCATAACGTTGGTTCTGATCAATACATTATCACGCATTTTCACTTCTGGTAAGTCCGACTTGACAATGTGATTGTTCAAAGAGAACCATGACACTGATGCCTTCGAAGGATTGACATAGGCATTGGAACCATCACACCAGGCAGCAATTCGATCGAGTTCTTTGTGCATAGTGCTGGCGATCTCCTGTCTATCACGCCCTCGTCGATAAATCAAAATGTCATCAGCAAATGAAAAAGTCCTTCCCTTTCCATTCAACTGCTGCTCAGTGATCATCACCGTGTAAACGTTGAATAAGACTGGTGATAGCGGTGATCCCTGTGGCAAGCCTGGACATATTGTTTGCGGTTCGGAGGACCAGCTACCACATCTTAGTACAATCTTTCTCTGGAACAGGACTGCAGCAATCCAGCGGATCAGAATAGGATTAACTTCTAGTTTAAGCAGTAATTGCATTAAATAATCGTATGGTACTTTATTGTAGGCATCTTCTAAGTCCAACACTGCCGCACATGTCTCTTCTTTAATCTGAAATCCCTCGTACACATCGTAGGCGAAAACTGCAGCATTGAACCATGTCTCTTTATTTAACCTGTACCCTCCAAGTGTTGGTGGGAACTTATCATGTAGTTCCAAGTAGGTGGTCAATCTTTGTGCGACAATTTTTTCCAAAAGTTTGCCAACAGTATTCTGCATTGAGATGATTCTGTAGCCGCAGATTTTCGAGTGGTCTTTATTAGGCTTTGGTAGTGGAAACAAATAACTATGGAGCCATTCCTCTTGTATCTGGCCACTCTGGATGCTGATATTGAATTCCTTTGCCATGCTTTTCAAATCAGCATTCGACATCATCAGCATGTCATTGTATCGGATGCCGTCAGGGCCTGGAGCAGTGCTGCGCGATTTCTTGAGGCAAGTTCTTAAGGTATCTGCAGTGATTGTGAGATCAGTGCCTAACACAGTGTTCTCGCACAGCATCGACAGTTTCATCTTAACCCCTATTCTTGTAGCTTCGTCTTTTTGGTCAGTTTGCTCCAAGTAGCGCGCCAGAAGGGTTTTTCCTTTATCAGCATCAGTTCTCTGCCATATCAGGTCTGTACCCTGAAAATCAGGGATACCCCTAGGTCGTGCGACGCCGTGCATGCTCCGTTGAAGGTGCCAGAATGTCACAAGAGATCCCTCGGAGCAAACGCTCTTGCAGAATTCGTTCCATTTCGCTGTCTTAGCTTCCTTAGCAATTACCTTGAAAGCCACTGTCTGCTTGTTGACCTCCTCTTTCAGATTGATCAGGCGTTCAGAAAGTGACGGATCAATTTTCCTTGCCTTTTGCCATGCCTTGACAGCTTTCCTTTTTTCTAGCCACGCCATGTTGACTACTTCATTCCACCATGGTGGCTGGGCCCATCTCTCCCGCCGTCTGCGATCTACTCTTGTTTTACGTCGTCGGATTTTGCTAATGGCATCTTGCCCTGTACGGTCATATATAAAAGCAGGCACATTGATTACATGACCTTTGTTGTTGCTCTTCTCTACCAGGACGACGCAAGGAAAGTGATCACTGTCGTGGTATCCCAGTGTGCTCCACCTGCATCCTGATGCAATAGAGGGAGACACTAGGGCCAGGTCAATTACGCTGTCAGAATCCCCTTGTCGTGTTGCAATTCGGGTAACCTTTCCGTCGTTCAAGCATACTAGATTGGCAGACACTAGGGCATCCTCCAGGTCTTCCCCCTGTTTATAAGTGATTACATTGCCCCACTGGTGTCCTCTGGCGTTGAAATCTCCGCAGTAAATGACTTTCTTTTCCTCCGTCTGGAGCAAACTCTGCCATTTCGCTGTATCCACCATTCCATTGCAGGCGTACACATTGACAATCACAAACTGGGCTGGGCCCATCACTCTGACTGCGTGTACTTGTAAGTCGTCATTATTCCACTTAGACATGTCCACCTCAGACACCGGTATGTGGTCACGAACAAGAATGAGCTGTCCAAGGTGCTGTCTATTGTAGAAGGATTGGAAGCCCGAAATTTTAACGATCTCGTCACCGAGGTGTGTTTCCTGTAGGACAACAATGTCGTTGCTGTAGAGGAGCTTCTCAAAAATGGGTCGGCGTTGACTGAACGAAGCGCAGTTCCAGTAGAGAACACGAACATACTTTAAGCTGAGTCTCTCACATGTCAGTCGCTTCCTGCAGGCGCCACCGTGCTTGCCTGTTCGCGTTCTCCTTGTCCGTCTACGGGTTGTTTTGAATTGGTAAATAGTCGCCATCGGACGTCGAATACACCCTGAGGGAAGTCTAAACTCACGTGCATGTACTCCATTGCACGGTTCAGACCCCATTCCGATGAAACTTTCACATTATACGTGAGCGAAAATAGCTAATTTGCGCTATTCGCCTCAACGGACGAAAAAGCGTACCGCCATTGTGGCTGTTTGAGAAACAGAAGATCAAATGGTTTGATCATCTAGTAAAAATGCAGCCACAACAATTACTAACGCAGGCACTGCACATGAAAAGATTTGATGAGGTTGCCCTAGGAAATATGGATTGATGACATTAAAGAGCTTCTAAGTTTATGCAAAACGACAATAGCCATTGCTGCTCATCTAGCAATGGATCCCAAACTGCTCCTCCCCCGGGACGCTTAACTGCAGAAAGGGAAATTGTTTATGATAATGATGACCATTCCCTCTCCCTTGAAAGCTGCTGCCTGAATGCTTGACCACTGGATGGCAGACCACTGGGCAAATCCTAGGAAGCCCATTCAAGTTTCAGAGAAGTTACAATTGGGGCACATGTAATGTCTGTAACCTGCAGCCATTGTAGGTGATGAAGTGTAATAGTTGTTAGAATTACAGGAAGCCAGAAAAAAGACCAGTGTTCTCACACTGGTAACTATGACACTTCATTGATTCTAGGTGGTGTTGAAATGATCATGATGGGAGACCAAGCCCTGGAGTACAGCCGTGAGTTCAGATTCTACATCACCACCAAACTGAGGAACCCCCACTACCTGCCAGAGATATCCACCAAGGTGTCCCTGCTGAACTTCATGATCACCCCAGAGGGCCTAGAGGACCAGCTGCTGGGCATTGTCGTGGCCAAAGAGAAGTGAGATAGGCATGGTTGTTGTACGTTTTGTTTGACAGTTCTTCTTCTTCAAAGTTTTCACAGATCTGTCTTAATTGTATGCAGATGTTGGTTTCTCACCTCTCAGTCAGATGCACACTGACTTCTAGGTAAACGCTCCTAGTTAGTCAACTTTTACTACATGCTTGCTAGAGAGGCCAGTGGATCAGTTCTCTCCCCCTTCCCCTGCCAAAATGGGGTCCAGAACCAAAACAGGGATATTTAACATTTTAAATAAAACATAAAAGCTGACTTTGTGTAGTTAAACAGTATCCTGTTTGGGATCATTAAAAAATAAAGCACTGAACGGTTGTATACTGCATACCAAAAGCATTGCACAAAGCATGGATTCCATAGCTCCAGAGATTGTCTCTAGGAATCTCTGTAAATACTGCACTGGTGAACTGAACGATGCATTCATGACATGAATCACAAGCTTTGAAAATTGAGACAGACGGCTTGATTACTTCCCCATGGAGATGCCCTGAATACATTAATGTGTCATGATCATGGTAGGGGTGCAGATGGCTTGATTACTTCGCCATGGAGACGCCCTGAAGACATTTATGTGTCATGATCATGGTAGGGGTGCAGATGGGATGCCAGAAATTTGTGATTACCATGGTGCTCACACAAGCCACTGAAGCCACATGAACTACCTGAAGTAGGGGAAGTGAGCTGGCTGAGGGCAGTCGTAGGGGATGGTCTGGACAACTACAATGTGGCCATGCCACATGAATAGTGATTTTAGTCATTGTGTTAGATAGAGTTAGCTAATATGTTGAGTTAATTGGAATGATGTAGAAATGATAGGACAATCAAGTTAAAAGTAACAGTGCTGAACATGTCTTATGTACATCAGATTTCTCAAGTGAATTGTGATCACATAATGATAGACATTTTGTTCTCATTCTCATCTGACCATTATTGCAGTGGTAATGTGCTTGTAGTGTCGCAGCAATAAACTGAATCACAGCACTTGGTAATTATCAAGCTCAGGAAGTCGGAAGCAAATATGTGAAGTAACATTAAGCTATCTGTCAGTGCAAGTTGAATGACCTTTTCACACATGTGCTCTGACCTTGCGACCCCTCTCTGGAACCATGACATATGTACTGGATTCCATCCATGATATTGAAACGATTGCAACAAGAACAAACTGCTGATGATGATGAAATCAGCATGATAATGACAGTGGTGGGCAGCCGTTCTGTACAGAAGCTGGAGTATGTTTTGTGTTTAGAGAACTAATACGAGAAACATAAGCTAAGATGGTATCCTGTGGTAGTACACATCAAGACATGCAGCTGCTACATCTTCATCGCTACTTGCTAAAGACAAGTAAATATCAGGTACAATAAAAGGGAAGGGGTCAAAGTTTGTAATCCTGTGACATGAGCTGTTAGTTTGTATTTATTTTTCTTGTATGTATTATTTTAATACAAGCTGTTTATTTGTAAGATATTAGTTTTTGTATGTGGGTGCGTGTGTGTGTAATCTGTTGACGTGAGCTATTAGTTTGTCTGTAATTAATTGACATTAGCTGTGTGTTTATCGTAGCCTAGATCTTGAACCAACTCATGCCAGGTTGTCCTAACCATTGCTGTCACATACAGCTCACCCAATATCCTTCACATCCTTTCAATTTCATTTTCTAGTTCCGTTCTGCATGTGTTTTTTCCTGCCTTTATTTCTTTGACCCTATGGGTTCCACTGTAAAGACGTTCTATTGATATTGTTGTCAGGTTTTCTCAGTGAATGTCCTATTCAACACATTCTTTTCTATAAGAAGAGCCGCTTGCCTCCTCGTGGTTAGTTTGGTATTGCTTGTAACTTTTTTTCTGAAGACTTTCTCATGGTTGGATGGTTGGTTTTTGCAGCTATAGTGTTTTAGAGGACAAGGATTTCAACTGCAAGCTCAACTCTAATCTTAGTCACCTCTTACGACACACATAGTAGGGTGCACTGTTGCTATTCTTTGCTTCCCATGAGAGCCTTGTTAACACAAAGGTTCATTGAATATTGTGACATCAGTAGTCAGTTTGTCTGTAATCATTTGACATGAGCCTGCTAGCACTAGCGCTATTCAGAATCAACCTACGACTGGCTGATAAACAATCAAAATAAAAAGTTTGTCATAACAATACTTTTCATGACTTGCATAATTCAGTAGTCATTTAGCTCACTAAACATGGACCTACAGTCTCACTTGTTCAGTGGTTCAGGAATTGTGAACTAATAAACATGAACACTTTTAATACCTTTCCTGCCAGCTGTGAAATTCTTGGTGTAATTGGTTGTCTCCAAGCAGAAGGTCCAGGTGAAAATTGTGTTGTCCATATAGTGATAACTTTAGAGTGACAGGTCTGGGAGGGATCCGTGAATGTAGAGACAAAGAAATCGTCAACACAGTGAATGAATAATCATTCTCCAAACAAACCCACAAGAATTCAGGCAAAGATTTTCACAACAGCTGATGATTACAGTGTACTAGGACCACAACTGAACATTATTGACAGAATTAATGACACTAGGGACTAGGGCTGTACCGAATATTCGCTTCGGGGCCGAATAGTGAACCCAATAACTATTCGGTATTCGGCCGAATAGTTGCGGTCGGGCCGATTACCAATAGTGGTTACCTCACAACCGTTTCTGGACTGGTGGAAAAAAAAACATCAAGACTTCCCACCTTGGTTTATACTGTGAAGCGTTATTTTTGTGCACCACCTACGAGCGTACCAAGTGCCCCTTTATTTCCATCTTGCATGTGTTGCGAGTATAGTGTTTTTAGGTGTGTTGCTGTAGAAACAAAATGCAACACTTAAAAATGTAAGAGGGGCAGAAAAGCAAGTGTTCTAGTGTTGTCGGCTTGATTTCTTTGAGTGGAGTGTCCTCTTCGTTGATTCTTTGAAATAACAGGAGTTCGTCATCATTTATGGGTGTCGTATCTGTTCTTTCGTCGTCTCGTGGAAACGGCAGCGGCTGAATGTTTTGATCGACGTTCGGTTTCTTGATTGTCTTTGTTGTTTGATCTTCTGGCGTTGGCCGCCTGGCGTCTGGTTTCGTGAGCTCGCGGGGGGCTGGGCGACTTGTAATGACGGCATTGTTTTCTTCGTCGGCGTTATTTTTGTTTTTGATGTTTCGCCTTGCAGGTTTTCATTTTGACTCTCTGTATTTGTCGTATTTTCCTGTTTAGTACAGCTGGAAATACCTTCAGTGAGACAAAAAGCTGGCCTAATGCTGACAACATGGAACGAAGGTTTTTCATGGAGGTGTGTCAGCACACGAACTAATACATGCTGCAGGAGATCGCAGATTGTGGCGAGGCATAATCGCCCATGCCAGCCGGCAAAGCACATGATGATGATGATTCACTATTCGCATTCGTATTCGGCCAAATAGTTGGTCCAGCTATTCGTATTCGGCCGAATAGTGAAAATCACTATTCGGTACAGCCCTACTAGGGACCACAAGAGAACTTTATTGACAGAATTAAAGACACTAGGGACCACAAGGGAACTTTATTGACAGAATTAATGACACTAGGGACCACAAGGGAACTTTATTGACAGAATTAATGACACTAGGGACCACAAGGGAACTTTTTTTTACAGAATTAATGACACTAGGGACCACAAGGGAACTTTTTTTTACAGAATTAATGACACTAGGGACCACAAGGGAACTTTATTGACAGAATTAATGACACTAGGGACCACAAGGGAACTTTATTGACAGAATTAATGACACTAGAGACCATAATAACCTCAACTTGTGGGTTGTGACCCCTTTGGGGTGTCAAATGACCCTTTCACAGGGGTCGCCTAAGACCACAGGAAAACACACATTCCATTAAATTATGAAGTAGCAACAAAAATTTAGTTGAGAGTCACAACAACATGAGGAACTGTATTAAAGGGTTGTAGCATTCTGAAAGCTTAAAAACCGCTGATTTAAATGTTATTGTCAATTCTGTTTATAATTACCAGCCAATTAAAGATTGATTTTCGAATAGCCCTTGTAATTAGTTTGTAACCATTTGAGATATCTGTCCTGGTAACATTTCAGACCCGAACTGGAGGAAGAGAGGCAGACCTTGATTGTGACAACTGCTGCCAACAGGAAACAGCTGAAGGAGATTGAAGACAAGATCCTCAATACTCTGTCAGCATCTGAAGGTAACATCCTGGAAGATGAGTCTGCCATTCAGGTGCTGGACTCATCCAAAATTCTCGCTGATGAAATTTCTAAAAAGCAAAAGGTGAATATGAGATTTGATAGCGTTTTCATTGAACTGTCTTGCCAGATGGTAGTGTTATGTTGTGTTATAATGGAGTCATGGAATCACAGCCAGTTAAGGCTTGGAATGGTTCCTTGTGTCCATATCACAAAGCCTGAATAGTGGTGTAGAGTCCATATGTTGACCATGCAGTGTGATATCTCTCTCTCTCTCTCTCTCTCTCTCTCTCTCTCTCTCTCTCTCTCTCTCTCTCTCTCTCTCTCTCTCTCTCTCTCTCTCTCTCTCTCTCTCTCTCTCTCTCTCTCCCTCTCTCTCTCCTCCCTCTCTCCTCTCTCTCTCTCTCTCTCTCTCGTCACCTTCCTCCCCTCTCCCTCCCTCTCTCTCTCTCTCTCTCTCTCTCTCTCTCTCTCTCTCTCTCTCTCTCTCTCTCTCTCTCTCTCTCTCTCTCTCTCTCTCTCTCTCTCTCTTTTTTTTTTGTTGTTGCCACTATCAGATATGAGATTGCTTATATTTTAATAGTTATTTATGATCTGGGTAAAGTTGAAAATGTGCATGCAACAGACTGAAACAAAAACTTCTTTTTAAGGAAATATGCCCGAAGCTAAAATTGAAGCTCGTTAAATTCTGTGAGTATTCAACATTTGTCTTTTTCAGCTTTTTTGTCTCCCATTGGAGTATAAGTTCTCTACCAACGATCTGTTGCAGTTCCCTCTGTGCTTCCAATATTAGTCATCAGAATCAGAAATTCAACAGTGTATTCATGATCTTCTTCGTCTTTTTTGTGTTCAGCAGCTGAAAACAGTTGATAGCACATGCAGTAGCCATAGGGCCTGAAATAATTAGGCTCACAACCTATCCTACACAACCCTAAAAGTGCAGGCATTAAAACCTTCTGTGGAAGTGACCTGGCACCCATTTTAGGCTGGATTCACCTGTGAGCCTAGGTCAGTGAAAAATCGTTTGCTTTGACGGGAATATTGACAAATGACTGCTTGTCTCACAGTGATGTTAGCTGTTGTGCTACCAACATGACTTAATCTATGTATCTGTTTATTTCTTCACATCTCTGTATTTCTTTAAAACAACATCTGTATGTTTGAACAAGTAAACTTAAGGATCCTTGTCATGCCTTTAGGGCACCCAGCAAATGGTACTGGACGTATATTTTTATAGGTCAATCAACACTTGATGTGTGATTTGATCAAAGAAATGTTGATCACCTGTATTTCCTAGAATGTTACCTAGGTCCAATTTTAAGCTAGCTCGATATGGTAGCAAACATATGTTTAAAAAAAAAAAATCTGCCTTGATGGAGATTTGAACTGTAGGCAGGTGATCTTGTAACCATTACTCTAGTGCAGCAACCTATCTACATATTTATTTGATTTGTGTAATTGTTGCTGTTGACAGATTGGAGAAGAAACAGAAAAGAAGATAGAAACCTCCCGTATGGGATATCGAACTATCGCAACTCACTCCTCGGTGTTGTTCTTTTCCATCATGAAAAACTGCCAAATATTGATCCCATGTATCAGTACTCTCTGAATTGGTTTGTGAATCTCTTCATTATGTCCATACAAGACAGGTGAGATTGTGTCATGTCTCAGCCACAGGTAAAATAGTTATGTCCAGCACAGGTAACACAGACCTGTTTCCAGCACAGGTAACACAGACATATGTCCAGCACAGGTTACATGGTCATATGTCTGGCACAGGTAACATGGTCATATGTCTGGCACAGGTAACATGGTCATATGTCTGGCACAGGTAACATGGTCATATGTCTGGCACAGGTAACATGGTCATATGTCCAGAACAGGTAACATGGTCATATGTCTGGCACAGGTAACATGGTCATATGTCTGGTCATATGTCCAGCACAGGTAACATGGTCAAATGTCTGGCACAGGTAACATGGTCAAATGACCAGCACAGGGTAACATGGTCAAATGACCAGCACAGGGTAACATGGTCAAATGACCAGCACAGGGTAACCTGGTCAAATGACCAGCACAGGGTAACATGGTCAAATGACCAGCACAGGTAAATGGCTGTATGTCCAGTACAGGGTAACATGGTCAAATGACCAGCACAGGGTAACCTGGTCAAATGACCAGCACAGGGTAACATGGTCAAATGACCAGCACAGGGTAACATGGTCAAATGACCAGCACAGGGTAACATGGTCAAATGACCAGCACAGGTAAATGGCTGTATGTCCAGTACAGGGTAACATGGTCAAATGACCAGCACAGGTAAATGGCTGTATGTCCAGTACAGGGTAACATGGTCAAATGTCCAGTACAGGGTAACATGGTCAAATGTCCAGTACAGGGTAACATGGTCAAATGACCAGCACAGGGTAACATGGTCAAATGACCAGCACAGGGTAACCTGGTCAAATGACCAGCACAGGGTAACATGGTCAAATGACCAGCACAGGTAAATGGCTGTATGTCCAGTACAGGGTAACATGGTCAAATGACCAGCACAGGTAAATGGCTGTATGTCCAGTACAGGGTAACATGGTCAAATGACCAGCACAGGTAAATGGCTGTATGTCCAGTACAGGTAAGATGGTACGTATTCATCACAGGTAATGCTATTATATATCCAGCACACGGTCATACATATATTCAGGGCATGATTTTAATATATCCGCAATATGTGAGATTTTGTGATATATTTAACACAAGTAATTCATAGTATAACCAGAACAGTAAAGGTCATAATTACATAGGACGGGTACGACAGGTGACAGATAAAGTGACAGAGCCAGCCAGTATATCTGGTCTTTTATTAGTCATGAATATTTGCAGTGAATCTGACCAATTTCCTGTATATGCCGCACGCGCACATGCATGCATGTGCGCATGCAAACACACACGTACACACATACACACGCATGCACACACATACATATATATATATATATATATATATATATATATGTATATATAATATTAATATATATATATATTTATATAATTATATATATATATATATATATATATATATATATATATATTATATATATATATATATAATATATTATATATATATATATATATATATATATATATATATATATATATATACAGGCACCCTCACTCACACTGGTGCGCTACACACACTACTCACACATACACAGGCACCACTCACTCACTTACACAGGCACCACTCACTCACTTACACAGGCACCACTCACTCACTTACACAGGCACCACTCACACTCATTATAGTGTACTTTGTTTACAACTGTAAACGTATTCACTCTGTATACAATGGTAAATATAGCCACTAATCTGTTTACAATGGTAAATATAGCCACTAATCTGTTTACAGCTGTAAATATAGCCACTAATCTGTTTACAACTGTAAATATATCCACTAATCTGTTTACAGCTGTAAATACATCAGCTAATCTGTTTACAGCTGTAAATACATCCACTCTGTTTACAACTAAATATATCCATTTTCTTTACAACTGTAGATGTACCTACTCTATTTAGAACTGTAAATATACCCACTGTATTCAGAACTGTGAATTTATTCAGTCTGTTTACAATGATAAATGTATCCTCTGCTTCCCCAGTAACAAATCCAAAGCCCTGGAAAAACGAATCCGCTTCCTGGCCGACCACTTTACCTACAGTTTGTACTGCAACGTCTGTCGGTCATTGTTTGAGAAAGACAAGCTAGTTTTCTCATTCATTTTATGTTCAAATATTTTAAGGTAAATTCTCATGAATCACAAGTTCAGTCTAGATTTGTTCCGCTTGTCCTTGCATGCAGCCACTGACTACACTTCTTGATCTCATTCTTTACCAGTGTGGTGTGTTAGAAAGAGCGTTTTCTTAGGAAGATGGGTTAGGTTCAATTCCCACCAGTGACAAGATTTGTCTATGTTTTTTTGAGAATTTTCGGGGGTTGGGGGGGGGGGGGGGAATTGAAGAGAGGGGGAACTGGACTCCTGACACCATTATGCCACATAGCGTAACCTGTGAATATTGAACTCTAACTAATTATTGGGGCTCTAAGACAAGGATGAGTTGTCTTGTTTGTCAAAACCTTGGTGCAGCTCTTGGTGGTGTCATCAGTCAGATTAATATTCCAGCATTTTCTCTCTAAAGATGTGAAGTTCCAGTATTGATCCTAGAAGTTCTGCTAGTTTCTGAGTTTGGAACTTAAAGTTTTGTGCAATAATGCCATGATTTAGGTGATTCTTTGGTAGGGGGTTAGGGGCAAATCTTACTGCTGGGTTTGGAGGAATGTCTTACTACTGGGTTTGTATGAAAGTCTTGCTACTATGATTGGAAAGTCTTACTGCTGGGTTTGGAGGAATGTCTTACTACTGGGTTTGTATGAAAGTCTTGCTACTATGATTGGAAAGTCTTACTGCTGGGTTTGGAGGAATGTCTTACTACTGGGTTTGTATGAAAGTCTTGCTACTGGGTTTGGAGGAATGTCTTACTACTGGATTTAGAGGAATGTCTTACTCCTGGATTTAGAGGAATGTCTTACTACTGGGCTTGGAGGAATGTCTTACTACTGGGTTTGGAGGAATGTCTTACTACTGGGTTTGAAGGAATGTCTTACCACCTGTGTGCCCCTAACCACCTGTGTGCCCCTAACCACCTGTGTGCCCCTAACCACCTGTGTGCCCCTAACCACCTGTGTGCCCCTAACCACCTGTGTGCCCCTAACCACCTGTGTGCCCCTAACCACCTGTGTGCCCCTAACCACCTGTGTGCCCCTAACCACCTGTGTGCCCCTAACCACCTGTGTGCCCCTAACCACCTGTGTGCCCCTAAACACCTGTGTGCCCCTAACCACCTGTGCGCCCCTAACCACCTGTGCGCCCCTAACCACCTGTGTTCCCCTAAACACCTGTGTGTCCCTAAACACCTGTGCGCCCCTAACCACCTGTTGATAAATTATATTGTGAAACCTCTGGATCATTTACAGCCAAATATACTAACCATCTCTGTCTTGCTTATCACCTGTGTGTCCCTAACCACCTGTGTTCCATAACCAGGTGTGTTCCCATAACCACCTGTGTGTCCCTAACCACCTGTGTGCCCCTAACCACCTGTGTCTCCCTAACCACCGGTGTGCCCCTAAACATGTGTGTTCCCCTAAACACCTGTGCCCCTAAACACCTGTGCCCCTAAACACCTGTGTTCCCCTAAACACCTGTGTGTCCCTAACCACCTGTGTGCTCCTAAACACCTGTGTGCCCCTAAACACCTGTGTGCCCCTAAACACTTGTGTGCCCCTAAACACCTGTGTACCCCTAAACACCTGTGTGCCCCTAAACACCTGTGTGCCCCTAAACACCTGTGCGCCCCTAACCACCTGTGTTCCCCTAAACACCTGTGCGCCCCTAACCACCTGTTGATAAATTATATTGTGAAACCTCTGGATGATTTACAGCCAAATATACTAACCATCTCTGTCTTGCTTATCACCTGTGTGTCCCTAACCACCTGTGTTCCATAACCAGGTGTGTTCCCATAACCACCTGTGTGTCCCTAACCACCTGTGTGCCCCTAACCACCTGTGTGCCCCTAACCACCTGTGTGCCCCTAACCACCTGTGTCTCCCTAACCACCTGTGTGTCCCTAACCACCTTTGTCTCCCTAACCACCGGTGTGCCCCTAAACATGTGTGTTCCCCTAAACACCTGTGCCCCTAAACACCTGTGTTCCCCTAAACACCTGTGTGTCCCTAACCACCTGTGTGCTCCTAAACACCTGTGTGCCCCTAAACACCTGTGTGCCCCTAAACACTTGTGTGCCCCTAAACACCTGTGCGCCCCTAACCACCTGTGTTCCCCTAAACACCTGTGTTCCCCTAAACACCTGTGTTCCCCTAAACACCTGTGTGTCCCTAACCATCTGTGTTCCCCTAAACAGCTTTGTGTTACCAAGATCAATAATGAAAGCAAACAGTAGTAACACTAGTCTATCACACCCCCCATTAGATGTGACTAAAGAAGGTTATTGTACTTCTTGCTGTTTTAACTCATAGAAAACCTTAGCTGCAAAGTCCAGCTATCCTTAAACATGTCAGTGAAGGCTTGCTTGACTTGGTCACGGACTATTCTACTGGAGGATAAAAGAAGAAGACAGAATAATCAGTCTAACACTACACACCAGTGTCCGTTTCTGCCATTAGGTCAACTTTTCTTGCATTAAGTATGTTGCCCTATATTGGACAAATGTTTATATTAAAATTATTTTCCTCTGAAATGTTCATATCCTAAAAGTAGTCTTGCTCTTAAATGTTTATATTAAAAGTAATCTTGCTCTATATGTTTTTTTTTTTAAATTGATGTTGCTCTAAAATGTTTATGTTAAAATGATCTTACTCTAAAATATTCATGTTAAAATGATCTTACTCTAAAATATTCATGTTAAAATGATCTTACTCTAAAATATTCATGTTAAAATGATCTTACTCTAAAATGTTCATGTTAAAGTGATCTTTCTTTAAAATGTTCATTTTAAATGTATCTCGTACCCAGAGCCAAAAATGAAATGGAGCAGTCTGAATTCATCTTTTTTCTCACTGGAGGTGTTGGACTGGAGAACAAAATAGCAAACCCTGCTGCCAAGTGGTTGAGTGACTCGTCCTGGGATGAGCTGTGCCGCCTGAGTGACCTGAAAGCTTTTAAAGGACTGAGGTTGCCACAGGAATGAGTGTTCAGTGTGGTTGTTTTATCTGCTAGACAAAATGAAATGCAAAGGTATATTGAATTTCTGCTGTGAAATGAGTACTTAATAAAAGTACCTTGTACCACAGGCCAGATGAACAGAAATGACAGCCTAAAGAGGGTATCTGGAAATGTCCTTGGAAATAAAGGGGGCCAACATGATGTTGACCACATGACTCATTGAGTGCTGATTGGTGTGTGAAACATCACTCACTGAGTGCTGTTTAGTGTGTGAAACATCACTCACTGAGTGCTGATTGCTGTGTGAAACATATGTGTCAAGCACATCACTCATTGAGTGCTGATTGATGTGTGAAACATGTGTGTTAAGCACATCACTCATTGAGTGCTGATTACTGTGTGAAACATATGTGTCAAGCACATCACTCATTGAGTGCTGATTGCTGTGTGAAACATATGTGTCAAGCACATCACTCACTGAGTGCTGATTGCTGTGTGAAACATATGTGTCAAGCACATCCCTCACTGAGTGCTGATTGGTGTGTGAAACATATGTGTCAAGCACATCACTCATTGAGTGCTGAATCTTGTGTGAAACATGTGTGTCAAGCAAATCACTCACTGAGTGCTGATTGCTGTGTGAAACATATGTGTCAAGCACATCACTCATTGAGTGCTGATTGGTGTGTGAAACATGTGTGTCAAGCACATCACTCATTGAGTGCTGATTGCTGTGTGAAACATATGTGTCAAGCACATCACTCACTGAGTGCTGATTGGTGTGTGAAACATGTGTGTCAAGCAAATCACTCTATGAGTGCTGATTGGTGTGTGAAACATATGTGTCAAGCACATCACTCACTGAGTGCTGATTGGTGTGTAAAACATATGTGTCAAGCACATCACTCAGTGAGTGCTGAAAAACATGTGTGTCAAGCACATCACTCATTGAGTGCTGATTGCTGTGTGAAACATATGTGTCAAGCACATCACTCAGTGAGTGCTGATTGATGTGTGAAACATATGTGTCAAGCACATCACTCATTGAGTGCTGATTGGTGTGTGAAACATGTGTGTCAAGCACATCACTCACTGAGTGCTGATTGGTGGGTAAAACATGTGTTTCAAGCACATCACTTATTGAGTGCTGATTGGTGTGTAAAACATTTGTGTCAAGCACATCACTCATTGAGTGCTGATTGGTGTGTAAACCATGTGTGTCAAGCACATCACTCATTGAGTGCTGATTGGTGTGTAAAACATATGTGTCAAGCACATCACTCATTGAGTGCTGATTGGTGTGTGAAACATATGTGTCAAGCACATCACTCACTGAGTGCTGATTGGTGTGTGAAAACATATGTGTCAAGCACATCACTCATTGAGTGCTGATTGGTGTGTGAAACATATGTGTCAAGCACATCACTCATTGAGTGCTGATTGGTGTGTGAAACATTTGTGTCAAGCACATCACTCATTGAGTGAGTGCACATCACTCACTGAGTGCTGATTGGTGTCTAAAACATGTGTGTCAAGCACATCACTCAGTGAGTGCTGATTGGTGTGTAAAACATGTGTGTCAAGCACATCACTCACTGAGTGCTGATTGGTGTGTAAAACATGTGTGTCAAGCACATCACTCAGTGAGTGCTGATTGGTGTTTGAAACATATGTATCAAGCACATCACTCATTGAGTGCTGATTGGTGTGTGAAACATATGTATCAAGCACATCACTCACTGAGTGCTGATTGGTGTGTAAAACATATGTGTCAAGCACATCACTCATTGAGTGCTGATTGGTGTGTAAAACATATGTGTCAAGCACATCACTCACTGAGTGCTGATTGGTGTGTAAAACATATGTGTCAAGCACATCACTCATTGAGTGCTGATTGGTGGGTAAAACATATGTGTCAAGCACATCACTCACTGAGTACTGATTGGTGTGTAAAACATGTGTGTCAAGCACATCACTCAAGTGCTATGTGTGTGTCAAGCACATCACTCACTGAGTGCTGATTGGTGTGTAAAACATGTGTGTCAAGCACATCACTCAGTGAGTGCTGATTGATGTGTGAAACATATGTGTCAAGCACATCACTCATTGAGTGCTGATTGGTGTGTAAAACATGTGTGTCAAGCACATCACTCATTGAGTGCTGATTGGTGTGTAAAACATGTGTGTCAAGCACATCACTCACTGAGTGCTGATTGGTGTGTGAAACATATGTGTCAAGCACATCACTCATTGAGTGCTGATTGGTGTGTAAAACATGTGTATCAAGCACATCACTCATTGAGTGCTGATTGGTGTGTAAAACATGTGTGTCAAGCACATCACTCATTGAGTGCTGATTGGTGTGTAAAACATGTGTGTCAAGCACATCACTCATTGAGTGCTGATTAGTCTGTAAAACATGTGTGTCAAGCACATCACTCATTGAGTGCTGATTGATGTGTGAAACATATATGTTAAGCACATCACTCAGTAAAAGCTGATTGATGTGTGAAACATATGTGTTAAGCACATCACTCAGTGAGTGCTGATTGGTGTGTAAAACATATGTGTCAAGCACATCACTCACTGAGTGCTGATTGGTGTGTGAAACATATGTATCAAGCACATCACTCATTGAGTGCTGATTGGTGGGTAAAACATATGTGTCAAGCACATCACTCACTGAGTGCTGATTGGTGTGTAAAACATATGTGTCAAGCACATCACTCACTGAGTGCTGATTGGTGTGTAAAACATATGTGTAAAACATGATGTGTCATATGTGTCAAGCACGTCACTCACTGAGTGCTGATTGGTGTGTAAAACATATGTGTCAAGCACATCACTCACTGAGTGCTGATTGGTGTGTAAAACATATGTGTCAAGCACATCACTCACTGAGTGCTGATTGGTGGGTAAAATGTATGTGTCAAGCACTATACGTCTGATGCACCAAAGGCTGACAAGAGTCTACAAATCTAGAAACATCATGCATGAACAGATTCTGTGGGTTGCCTGTCCTAAACCTGCAAGAGAACAGGACATGAAGTAGGCAGACATGCATGCTGTCAGGGTGACTCTGATTCTTTCTCATATGTCTGCTTTTGGGAATGTGTCATGCCTAGTTGTTGATCTCATAGGTCATTATGTCTGACCAGCTTGCATTTGTGTATGCTTTGCTTCCTTGAGATTATTCCATTAAAAGAAAAGGGGCTCCGACTACCCATAAGTATGTTTTCTTTGTGAACATTTGCCAGGGGTCTGACCTGGTGGCTTATTCAATTCATTTTACAAATTACATTTTTTAAAATGTATCTGTACAATTTGCACATTGTATCTTTCCTTATCCTTATCCATGAAAGACAGTTATCTTATCTCTCTTCCCAAGCATTCATAGAACCTCTGTTTCCAGGATGGGTTCTAGGTCCCACTTCTGTGAGGAAAGAAGAAACCCACTGCTCCCTAACCAGCTTGTCATACAAGGCAACTAATCCAGCATTACATTGCTGAAATTACTTGTATTTGGTTGAAAGGCACAGATATCACAGCCTAGCTGTAAACCACAGCACAGCATTCCCAAATTGAAAATGAAAGACTAATGTATGTCACTGACATTAGATAGCTTTTTCAAGTATACAACCTACTAAATAAATAGCACAGACAGTTTATGGAAGTAATGCATTCAAAGATAGTGTATGTGGTTCGCTCACACTGTGGTAACCTCCTGTCTACTGTTGAAGGGTGGGTGGAGATGTTGTGTTAGGCCACACTCTAAAGCTAAATGATTTGATGTATTCCTGCTTGTAAATGTACCATTGAACATTTGTGCCATGCTGATGAAGGTGTTCTAGCTGCAATGTTCATTGTGAAACTGACCAACTCTGCTTCTCATGAAAAGGTAACAGTCCTAATGAGTCGCAGTAGCTCTACCGATCAGAGTCATGAATGTTGCAGCGAGAAAGCCTTCAACAGCATATGATACACACACAGAAAATGATACAGTTACTAACAGGAATTTATAAAGTCACTTATCTGTAAGTTAAAGTTTACTTGCATGGATTGGCATTTTTTCCTGTTATCCGGACAGTCAACACTTTGCTGACAATGTGGACAACTGGGAGAATTATTACACATCTAAGGAGCCACATAAAACTGCCATGACTGAACCCTGGGAGGGCAGACTGTCCATGTTCCAGAAGATGATGGTTCAACGCTGTCTGCGACCTGACAAGGTGAGACTGAGTATCAGCTTTAATTGTTGTAGACCGTGAGCTCTGTAGAGAGTACATCATTTCATGTCTAAAGATGTGCTAAT